ATGTGTAGGAATAAGTTGTCATTTGATGAGTCAGCTTTAAGATCCAGAGACCGTGCATAGCGGATGCGCTAAAGAAGTGCTTAGATTAGTTATTTTAGTACATCTAATAGCTGATAATTAATATTTAATTATTGATAATTATTATTATTTATAATTTAAAATATATGATCCATTCTATTAAAGATAATAACTAATAATTGTTTTCAAATTTTAAAACAAACACCCACTAAGTAATGGGTATGTTATGATTGTCAAAACTATAAAATATTAATTTTAAAAATATTAATGTTTTTAAATTTAATGGATCAAAATAATAAATAAATGTAATTATTAATTAATAAATAATAAAACAGTTGATATTTAGTAATTAATAAATTAAAATTAACTAATAAATTAATATTTTTTGGTACTTTTTAATAAAAATCAAAATTTTAATAATCTTAATAATATTAATAATAACAATAATTATACCCTTAAAGAATCTGCTGCAATTTTTATGTACAGAAAACATACTATTTCGTTCATCACCCGAGAAATAGGATTTGTATTGAACCGAGGAAGCTTGGAAGAGGGGAAAAAAATGTACAAATAGTAGAAGAAAATGATTTTTTAGGTTGATTAGCCCAAAACCCTTCTTAACCCCCAAACTTACCCCAAAATAGCATTTAAGCCCCTAAACTAAAAATAAAGTAAATAAGCCCTCTAACTTTACAAATGATACAAATAAGCCTTTCTCGCAAACGGGTCAAACGGTGAGATTCATGGTGGACTAACTCCATTTCTTTTTTGCACTTCCACTAATCCACGTAGACATATATATGTTGATGTGGCACCTTTTATGTACACATAGATGTTGAGGTGGATAAGAAAAAAAAGAAGCTAAATTCACGTGCAATGTAAAAATAAAAAATAAAAAATTCTTTATTTAAGCCTTGTTTAGGGCTTCGGCCTCATTTGTGCCCTTCTTCTGTAAAAATCCTCCACTTCTTTTGTCAGAAATTGAAATTAACATAGGGTTTTTGCTCCATGTATCACGTAGACAAATTCTGCTCCAGGGTATTGATGTTGGTGGCTAGATTCCAAGCCAATTGCAAACCCTATCAGTGTGTTCATTTGGTGTGAACGTGAAGACGAAGGAGAAGGTGGAGGCAGAGGCAGAGGCAAAGGGAGCCAGAGGCGGAGGTGAAGGTGGAGTCGGAAGAGGAGGCAAAGGTGGAGATCAAGATTGGAGGTTATGACAGGTGAATTCAAGAGACTGTGTCTTAAATTGTTTTAAATTGGTATTTTCTTGCTTTACATGGATTGAAATAAAGGCAGGGAGGATATGTTAGTTTCCACAGAGGTTGGTGTTATGAGGTTAGTTCCTTAAATTTGATATGTTAAATGGTGTTGATTTTCATTTTTTCTTTTTCTTTTTTGTTCTAGATTTATCATTTATTGATATTTTCCTACTCCATTTTTTCTTTTTTAGCAAATGGGCAAATATAATGCCTTTGACTGGAATGATGGATAAATAGTTGGAAAAGCACATGATGCAATTTGGAATTTATAACTGAAAGTTGAGTGTTTGAATAAGGAAGTGGGGGAACTTGAAAGAGATAAACTTACTGATGTTGAGAAAGCTATTGAGAAGCTAATGGATCGTGTAAGGTTTGAAGCGAAGAATCAAGTTGGAAAGCTGCAAATGAATTTCTCAATTGTGCTTGTGCTTGTAAATTCAGAATTTGGTAGAGTTATGTGATGGACGTTAGAAAATGCCATGAATTTCAAACTCTGGATTCTTTATCTTCTTTTGTTATGTATGGATCATGAACAATGTATGTAATATTCTCAACTTTTGACAATGTAAAGCAAATGTAATTATTTTACAATTGAAATCTAGGTTGTGGTCTTTTTATTTTTGGTTCAAAGTCTTGTTTTTATTTGAGCAAAATCCATCTAGGTTCTATTCTCTTCTTATGTATACATAAACAAATGTATCTAATTTCTTGTCTTCATTTTTATTTGAGCCATCCAGGCTTTGTTCTCTTTTATTTATATACATATACAAATATATTCAAGTTCCTATCTTCTTTTTTATTTGAGTGAAATCTGTCCAGGTCCCTAAACAACCAACCTAAAAATTTCTCAAAAATCATATGAACATTTTTTTTTACAACACTTACTTCAACATGAATTACCATTTAAATAAAAAAACCTGTGATCATCAACAAATTGTCTAGCATCAACAGACCACCATTGTTTTCAAAATCGAACCGAAGGTCAAATTGCTTTGACCTACAGTTCACGATTTTGGTGGTTGAATTGGTTTGATCGGTAAAAAAATCGGGTTGATGCATTTTGATGATATATATTAAATATAATATAATGCAACACATTTCAAAATGCTAAAAGTAGCTCCGGTGGCTAAGAGTTTTTATTAATTTCACACAAAACTTGAGTTCGAATCCCAAGTGTGTCAAATTTATTCATTTATGTAATTTATTATAATAAATAAATCTCAAAGCATTATGAGTCAATAAACTAGGTTTAGATCAAGTGGCAAAAGTTGTTCTATATAGGTAAAAGGTTAAGTGTTTGAATCTCATGGAAGTAACGTTAGGATTTTTCTTTTGTCTATCTAATGTTCTTTAAAATATAGTCTTTGTAACCCATTTCACAAAAGGTCTCGGTGCTCTGGTGGCAAAAAAGTACTCAAAACCTAAGGAGGTCTCATGTTCGACACCCAATGGACGGTCGGTTGGACTGTTCATCGGTTTTTACTAGTTTAGACAGGTTGAGCGGTTTTAAGTGGTTTAATCCTTTAAATGGTTTTAACTATCAACTCGACCCATTTCTACTACTGAGCACCGGTCCAATCGGTTCAATCGACGAATCCGATCCAAATTTCAAAACAATGCAGACCACTTTTAATTTCCCGTCAGCCAACTACCTAAATAACATGTAGTCATGTGGATATGTCCACATATAGAAACAAGTTAATCCACATCAACATACTAAAATTTCAAATATAGATAAGTTTCACAAAAGACAAAAGGCATATTTATCTATCTCAAAACCCAACCCAATAGTTGTCTTCATTGTTAAGACTCATGTCATCTCCAGATGGGGGCATAACAGATATGCTTGTTGCTCCAATGACGTAGCATCAAAATTAGTTTGTTGAGCACTACTTCTTTGTTCAAAAGGAATAACAAATAAGTTTTTTTGGTCCAAAGATGCAGCAAAATTGTTGGCTTGCTAAGCATTGCTTATTTGCTGATAGAAAGTTGGCATGGCTGTTGCAATAGTGCCTTCTTTAATGGTATACTCAGAAGGCCACCCAAGTTATAAACAATAGATTTTGATTAAACCAATGAGGTCTAATTCAACCAATAAAGTCTACTTCAACCAATAAAGTCTAGTACTTAAATATAATTTTTTAAGTAAATAAACTAATATCTTACTTACATTCCATGTCATTGCACCCATGTACTCATTCACTTTCATGCCTATGCCTAATTGCTTTCCTTTCTTGACTTTTTGTTTTCTATTGGTAGTCACCTTTACTTTTCCCTTGTCTTTTACAATAGAAGGTTGCTATGTTGAAGAAGATGTAGGACCATAGGAAACAACCTGCAAATACACAATTTAATATTACCTATTAGATTCAATATAACTACAATTTAAAGAGTCTGTCATTCAAAATGCAACTTACATTTGAATTGGTAATTGATGTTTGTGAAAGATTGATTGATTTTGGAACCTCTGCTATATTTCTTGAAGCTTTAACTTGATTTACTTATCTAATTAAATGATACGTATAAATAAATTTGACTTCATATATTTAAAAGTACTTATAGTTTTAGCCTTCCTATGATACATAGTAGAAGGCCTTCTCTTTTTACCATGAGATGATGATGCACCAGATCTATTGGTCTGTTTCCAAATAAAATGGAATCGATTGTTGTTCACATGAAACCATACCTCATTAGTTAAAAGGACATCTATTAAAACCATACCTCATTATTTGAAATAACTGGACATCCTGCCATTTTGTGTCCCTCTTGTTTGCAGTGGGAACATGCCATTATCCTTCCTTTCCTTGAGATTTTAACTACCTTGGATATTTTCTTAGGCTCATCTTTTGACTTCCTCTTATTTTTCTTAGGTTTCCCTGGTCTCTTTCTAATTGGTGGAGGATTAACAAGTTCTCCATAAAATTTCATCCAAGACTTGTTGTAACCTCCCCTTTTTGATAAACCTCCTGGTTTACCAAGTAGGGAAATATACTCCTCAAGAAAAAAAAAAAACAGTAAGAATTATCTATAAAAAAAGATAGCAACGGAAGTAAAAACTCTTTTAATATAAAATGTTTCATTTTAAGGAAAGTTTACTTTAAAACAATTTAAAGTTTTATAGAAGGAAAATCCTTCATTCGAAAGGGGAAAACTATTTAAACGAAAAATATCTTAAGAAAAATATCTAAATACTCAAAGTTATAAAATAAGTCAGGTTATACCTATTTAAATTAATCTTAATGTCATATACATAAAAGTAACTTATACAAAAAAATACATGAGAGCAATTGCTTTTCAAAATACTTTCTAAAATAATAAAAGCAAAATTATCGTTTTGGTAATACATTAATCCGCCTTCACATCAAAAGTACTGAGGTTGGCATACGAGATTTATACCGAAAACTCTCAAGCTGAGTGGTTACTACTCCAATATACTAATCTGAAATGGGGGGGGGGGAATTTTATGAGCTAAAAGCCCAATAAGTATTAAGTTTAAGCTATAAACTTAGGTCCTGAGACTCCTAAACCTAGACACACAAAGAGCATGAGATACAACAGAACTAAACCACATAATATTATAATTCCCGATGTTTAAATAATAATTTAATATCTCAAATCATAATCTCAAATCATAATCACACATCTTAAGGAATAATCAATGACATTTAAATTAAATTTATATAATAAAATCATATGCTCACAAATACGATATTACAAGTATAATACATAAAAGTCGAAAATCACACAATGCTATAGAATTCACTGATGTGTGCTAGTAACACTGTACTGGAGCTAATCACAGTATTAACCTTATTGTGCAGAGGTCTACTAAATACCTCGAAGGATCCACTTAATACCCCAAGCTTTAGGTTTAGGTCCACTTACTTCGTAGCCACAAGCACATACATATGTCAAACAAGTTTAGAACATATCCAAATAATATTAGCATATTATCCCATTTAATGTTCCCACTAATCAGTCACATGGACAATTCAAGTTTATACTAATATATACGTACACAACTCACATATTCCATAGAGTTTCATATTGAAAGAAATTGAAGTACACTACATGAATGGCAATTAGTGTGTGAACAGTATTCGGAAACAGTAATCCATGAACAGTATCCTGTGAATAGTAATTCGTGAAACAGTTCCAACAAGATCCTTTAATCCATAAAATTCACACTAAATCAAACATAAAAAAAACAAGGAATAATTCACTGTTCTTTCCTATATAAGCCCCAAAAATGGACATGTTCCTAACAAAATATTAATACCCAAATATCTATTAAACTAAAGCTTTGGGGTCAAATTTCACTAATTTAAACTAATTTTTAGTTTATTGAAATAAATCTATAATCTACCCAAAGAAAATCTACCTTAAATTTATAATCAAAACTCATACTTACCCAAAAAACTTTTACTCCCAAATTCATAACTTAAAACTTGTACTTACTTGGAAATTAAAGCATCGAATTAAGGCAAGTAGCAGAAATGGCTGAGAACTTCACTAGAAAGTGCGTCCTTACATGTCTTTAGCACATCACTTGGTTGGAAGAAAAAGAAAAGGTGCAAGAGACTAGTTGGGAAGGAAGGACACAGAAATAAAAAAGATGGATTCGAGAGACATCTATTTCAAGCCAAAGAAAAATGGCTTTACTTGGTAAATATTGTGCCACATGGCACAAAAAGTGGGATAATATAATTAAACATCCTTCAAATTTCACTAAATTTCATTTTCAACCCCCAAACTCTAAATCTAATCAATTTAATCCCAAAACTTTAAAATAAAAGACCCTAAGTTTTAATCTTTTTGTTAAAGTCTAAAGGGTGTTACACCCTCCCCACTTAAAAAGGATTTGGTCTACCAAATCTCAATCTTCTTTAAAAATATAACCTTGATCCTTCAAGTTCCTATTACCTATTGGCAACCAACCTTGTATCATTTCCTCAATGAAGTGCTTAACGCCAATTTGTTCATTGTTTCTATTAACTTCATCTCAACCATATAGAGATACATAACAATATTTGGCAGGGCTCTGGGCTTAAATCTGTTATCCTCTAATTAAAATCACATTGCTATCTTCTTCCTCTCTCACATATCATTAATCTATAATTTCAAAACAATCTATGAGAACCATAAACAAATTCTATCCACATAATTGGTGCTTCTCCTTGTTAACTCTTCCTAGATGGCCAACTCATATAGTCTATCTTACCACCCAATATACATACAGCTAACTCAGTCTCCTTCTATATCTATGTATGATGGAATAAATAAATTGGTTGTTCTAATTTCTATGGTAACAACAGAAACAAGGTTAAATCTCAAATGAGAAAGTTCAATCCTCCCTGCCACCGATGTGCCTATAGCTATTGCAATTAAAGATCATGATGTGATGATTTCAAACTCTTTACAATTACATGCATGCGTTTTAAAAACAACTTGGTGGAAACTTTAACCATCAAAAGGTTTTGGAACTGGTGTGTTTCAACAAACTTATAAAGCAATATAGTTTCAATTAGAAACCTCATTTATTGAATACATCACAAGTCCAGCCACATCAAACATTTTGGATAAAATATTCAAGTTCAAAAGAAATTTGAGGAAAAAATTTAGGCATGCCAATTATTAGACTTCTACAACTTCTTTACATGAGAGAACTTCTAAATTGTGCAAATAATTCATAGTACAATCTTTGGAGAACAAGTAGGAAAATCCAAAATCAGTGATAAAATCCACAATCATTTGAAATTTCGAAGTCATAAGAGAATAGATTTCAAAATAGCAATTGTAACTAAATTTTTCTCATATGAGATATAATCCAAAGTCATTTAATCAAAATCAAATGCATAATAGGCTTAATGCAACATTAACAGAAAAGATCAAAATTTACAATTCCAAGATAGATAGATAACCTACCTTCACTCCTATTGAAGTCCTTGTAAGGACCTCTTTGTGCTTCATGTCTCAATATGCAAATATCCCTTAATAGTAGTGCTCAAACTCGGAATGAATTTCTACTTTACTTTCATTCTAATATCTACAGGATCTTAGGCAAAAGTAATAACTTTTCTACCACTCATCCTATTCTCCCATAGGCATAAGGAACACATTTATTTAAGCAAATATTTGCTCATGGTAAATAATTCTGAGCCTTATAATTCTATTAAAGATATAAGTATAACAAACATGTCCAATAATATTTTAAATAACATTAGGAACATCCTTTTACCCAGCCATGGGCAAAAGATCATCATCTTCCTAACACTTGCAAATTATATTTCCAATATCATGTAACTTATAGGGTCTCCCTAGTATTCTTGAGCATGCCAACAATGAATAATAGTCAACTCATGTCATATAAGTCATAAGTTTCATTCACAAACAATACATATAGTACTCTTCTTAGGCATAACTTCAGGAGCTCAATATGATAGACATCACACACCCCATCATCAATTAACTGAAAATTCTTGTGCATCACAAGAATTCAATCTATGTCTTTCAACTAATGAAGTTGAACATTTGACATTAACTAACATACTCACAATCAACAAGGTCCAACTAACTTTATACAACTAACCTTATACAATATAATTCAATCAAAGAATGCCTTTATAAAGACTACTTAATATACTAAACCAGGAACTCCAGAACAAGAGTTAACACCTCTATAAAATATTGGAACTAACTTTCAGACTCATTCCACTTCCCATAGTTCCAAATTATTCCAAACTGTAGTCAAGCTTCATTAAAGATATCCTTATTCCAATTAACTTTGCAATCATTCAACTAGCATTAAGTAAAACAGAAGTTTATAAATTAACAATATCATACTCTTCTTGAAATCCTAACATAAATATTTTCAGCTTTAAATAAAAGTAAGGGACAATTAAATTATAATCATAAAGAATTTCTCGCCATTCCTTATTACCACCCTCCACGAACTAACAGTAGGTTCCACCCTACTATTTCTTTCTTCCTCCTATGCTTTGTAATAGAGTTCATAACTCAACTAATCATCAACTTAGATACTGCTCCAACCTCTCCTAGTGCTTAGCATAACCTACAGCAGACACATTTGATAAGCACATAATCACCAAAGCACACAAAGCATGCCTAATCATCCAACCCCTTTAGCCATAGTTTATAAGCAATGCCAAAGGATCATAAATACTAGAAAACATTAATAGCTAATACTTCACTTTGACTTGCATCTAGTTTAATTCTAGACTAAACATTCGTGACAATTCTAGTCGCATAATATTATTCGACAATAATATTATGTTAGTAAGGCCTAAGATACAATAACAGACTTTAAGTAACCAAAGACAAAGAAGACAATACAAATATTAACTCGTACGTGACATGTATTCAACTTCCATCTAGCATCTAACACCTTTGTGTTACTACTCTTCCTTTATTCCCCTCTCTCTCTTGTTTTATTTTTTTTAAACTCATCTATAGCTACTAGCTAATGTATTACGAACCATAATAAATATGTACATTGAAGGTTCAACCTTCTTTCTAACTCTCTATCTTTGTGTATTAATTCCTGCATGCAAAAATTTAGCAATGCAAATTCATTACTTGTATCCCAATGGGCTTAAGTAATTAATAAAATTTTAATACCTTTTAGTCCCTAATTCGTAACATAGTTACATTATTCTTTTAAAGGGCTTATGCCTAGATTTAGCTAAGTCCCCTCACACTTACTAACCACTTATGTTCACATGAAAGAGAATAATTCCCTTTTATATTAATCACCTAAGCAACTACATTAACAAACTTAGAGTGGGCTACTACAGAACACGACTTGTAAAATTATAAGAAATAAAGCCCCAAAACAGTAGCAAGCCACAGCAAAATTCTAGGTTAAAAAGCTAGCAACAAAGAGCAAAACAGTGCAGTAACTCACCCTACGATGGCTAGGAAGAAACATCAAAAAAGATGTGCAGAATGGGAATATAACCAAGCTTCAATAGCAGCGTAGAATCACATAAACAAATCAAAATCAAAGCAGGAACCAAACTATGCCATCTCTAAATCCATAGCAGAAACAAGGAATGACAAAACAATAAATCAAAAGGAAAGGATTTGACTAAAGAGCAGAATCTAAGACCACCTACTTGATCTCCTCATTAAGGAAAAAAAGCTTGCAGTGATGAGAAAAATTGTTGTCTGCCTACCCAGTTCTCTCAACCTTCTTCTCCTTTCTTTAATTTGGGGCTTTCTCTATGCCTAGATTTTTTTTTGTTTTTTTTTTTTTTTGGAATGGGATTTGAAAGGCTTGAGATGATGAGTGATAACGAAGAGAGAAGTGTCTTTCCAATGGCTACATCCCAAGGGCAGGCCATATTTTTCCAACGGCTATATTCTAGGGCTATAACCCCTTTCTCTTTTGTTTTTAATTCTTGTTTTGCTACATCAGGATTAAAAATTAGTGCAGTACCCTAGCAAAAACATTCAACACACACTATAAAATGTTTCTAACAATCCTCTCTCATAGTCACACTATAAATCTCGTTCTAGTTTCACATGCACTTCAACCTATTCATTAATCCTTTTTGGCATTCCCATCATCAGTAGCAGTAGGGGTAAATATATTACCTCCTAGACTTATTTTTCTCCTCTAGTACTGATATAAGCAAAGGGTGCAAAAACTAACAGTTAGGCAAAAATCTAATCCTATGACAGTACACTCTAACCCACTTGGCAAATCAATGTATTAGCAAAACTTTGGCTTTGATATTAATTTGTAACATCCCCTTTTTGATAAACCTCTTGGTTTAGCAAGTATGAAAATATACTCCTCAAGAAAAAAAAAAACAGTATGAATTATCTATAAAAAAAATTGCAACGGAAGTAAAAACTCTTATAACATAAAATGTTTCATTTTAAGGAAAATTTGCTTTTAAAACAATTTAAAGTTTTATAGAAGGAAAATCCTTCATCTACAAGAGAAAACTATTTAAACGAAAAATATCTTAAGAAAAATATCTAAATACTCAAAGTTATAAAATAAGTCTGGCTATGCCCATTTAAATTAATCTTAATGTCATATACATAAAAGTAACTTATACAAAAAAATACATGAGAGCAACTGCTTTTCAAAATACTTTCTAAAATAATAAAAGCAAAATCATCGTTTTGG